AATAATAGACATGCAGTGCCTACAGTTAATGTATGTAGAAATAGGATCCATTGATAATAATAGACATGCAGTGCCTACAGTTATGTATGTAGAAAGAGTCATAGCCCAACCTGAATCTGTAGTTGAGTGTGCTCTCCTACACGCTCTCTACCTCGCAGCATACCTATCTACCTGTGTAGCCATTGGAAAATTGCTTGCTAATACGATTGCTGCAGGATCGTCTTTGTTGGGTTAATGACCGCCGCAGCCTTTTACTCATGTGTCCCTCTCAGAGTCGGCCTTGGCCATGGTGAGCTGACTTCTCCCACATGCTGTGTACCTTTCCCTTCACCATTATTAGCATGGCCTTTTTATCTTGCTAGCAAGTTTCCTCCTTCCCCTTCATCAAAGGGTCTCCCCCCCTTATGTGTCAACCTTTGTGTGTGTGTAATGGTGGTATCAGGCAATATTTGCTCTTTAGGGATTGATTGGTTTCACTCAACAGAGTCCTCTAAACTCATCCACGTAGTGAGGTGCTTCCAGGCGTGTCATTATTCTTTATTGTTGCATTTGTGTGTATGCGCCACGTCTGTGCCCTTTCATCTGTTGATGGACACTCGGCAGTCTCCATCCTGTGCCCTTGTGAACAATGCGACAGTGAGCAAGGCTGGGCGTGTGTCCGTTTGGGTCACCGTACTTCTGTCTTCAGGCTGCACACTTGACAGCAGGCTTGCTGGATCTTTCGGTGTTTCTAATGTTAGCTTTCTGAGGAAACGCCATACCGTTGTCCACAGTGGTTGTACTTTCCCACAGATATTGTATGAGCATCCCAGTCTCCACAGCTTTGCCAACAGTTAGTGTTTTTTTGAGATTTTTTTTTTATTAGTGCCATTGCCCTCTAAGAACTTGATAGATTACATTGATTTTCTAGTTTCAAGCCATCTGTACATACTTGGTGTGAGACCAGGTTGACTTAGAGAAAGAAATCCAGTGATGCGCCTATTTGAGAGAGCTTTATTTCGAGAGTATTTATATCTAGAAAGCATCCCAGCTTAGTTCAAGTCCTTAAGTCCAGTGCTAATCCTAAACCCCTCTTGAGACTCAGGCAGCCACATGCAGTGATGCAGAGTGCAGGAAGATCACAGGCTGGTGGGTGCAGAGCCCTGTGCAGCCAAGGTGGGTGGAAACTTGGCAGGGCTCCCGCAGCTCGCACGGTGGCCAGCCAGCAGGAAGGGGACGCGGGAGAGAGAGGAGCAGGTTCTCAGGATTCTCCTTATGACCAGGCCGCGCCCTTAGGGAGATAGCATCAGTGGATGTAACTTGATTGACAGGTCTGACTCCACCCCTGCCCATTAGTATCTAGTTGACATAAACGTGATTTACCTGCCACACCTGGCATGACTCTCACTTGGGTGTGATTCTTTATATGCTGCTGAATTCTGTGGCTGTGGTTTCGTTGAGGAGTTTCACTTCTGTATGCATGAAGGATATTGGTTTGTAAAATTCTTTGCGGTGCCTGTCTGATGAGTAGCTTGGTTATCCTGACTTCGTAGAATGAATTGGGAGTATCCCTTTCTGTGCTCCGCAGGAGTGGAGCAGAACTGGCGAGTCACTCTCTGCAGGTTGGCGAGAGTTTACTAATGAAAGTGTCCCGGGCAGGGCTTGTTGTCGGTGGTGGTGGGCGTTGATGACTTCTACAGTCTCATCTTTTGTTGTGAGTCTGTTTAGGTGGGAGGGTGTTTCCAGACATTGGTGTGTGTATTCTAGGTTTTCAAATTTGTTGACCAATTTTTCATAGTATTCTGCTAAAGGTCCTTTTTCAGTTTAGCTGGTTGTATTGTAACGTCACCCATGTCGTTTGCTTCCTTTCCTGATATTCTTTTGTCAGTTTGACCAGCAGCTTGTTGATTTCTGTTGCTCCCTTTCAAGAACCAACTTCTTGTCTTGTTGATAGTTTCTGTTGTTTTTCTGCTCTAACTTTTACTATTTCCTTCTCCCCTCCTGTTGACATGGGTTTCTTTTGCTGCTCTCTTTCTGGTTGATTCTAGGAATCTTTTGACTTCTTTTATTACGCAGTGGCATTTAAGTAAATTGTTCAGTTTCCATGTATTTGATTTTTCCCTGTAACAGATTTCTGGTTTTAACGCATCATGGCCATAGAGAAATGCTTCGTATCACTCCAGTGTTCTGAATGTATTGAGGCTTGCTCTGTGGCCTGAGTTGTCTACTCTGGAGAATGAGCCGTGTGAAAGGCGTGGCTCTGCTGCTGTGGGGTGGTGTGCTCTGCACGTGTCTGTGAGGCCGAGTTGGTGAGGTGGCATTTAGAGCTTGCCTGTCTTTATTGGGTTTCTTCCGAGTTGCTGCCCTTCACGAATGGGGGCACGCTGCTCCGAGTCAGAATGCACTCAGCCGCCGTGGGCTGGGTGGTCCCTTCTCTTTCCAGTGCCGTTAGAGTTTCCCCCTTGTTGACCAGGAGCCCCGCTGCAGGTGCGTCTGTGTTTGTCATGGTTAGGCCCTCTCGGTGGACTGCTCATTTATTGTTTATTGAGTACTGATTGTGGACACGGTGAGAGTTCACAGAGCACATTTGTTCCTCGTTCATGATTTATTCACGTTAGTTGTGGTCTCCTTGCTGTAACCGTGCTCTCCTTGCCTCCCGGGCTCCTCACCAGGCTTCTCTGCTGCCTGCTCCACTCCTGCCTGCCCAACTTTGCCCCTGGACTCACGCTGCCCTGTTAGTCTCCCGTGGCTGATGGTTCTAAGGACTGCTTTCCTCCCAGGTGGGATCATTCGTTTTATAAGTCTGTCTTGCTTGGCTGAAAGGCGATCCCTGGAGGAGGTGGGTCCAGTTCTGTTTTTGAAGGGAGCCTAAGGGTCCTAGTCTTGGGCTAGGTGCCGCCAGACTGACCTCATGTACAGGTAGGGGTGTGGGGAGGGCTGGATATATGAGTGAGTCAGGTGGGAGGCACCATGTCGCTGCAGGCTGCTGGCTTCCACTGGAGGGGCCTGTAGGTGGGTGGGGGTGGGCACAAGGGTGTGTTGAGGACAATTAACTTCTACAGTGCAGAGGCACCCCTGCCTGGCTCTGGACGTGGGGACACAGTCACCCCGCTTGGCTGGGATTGCTGCTGGCTTTGCCTCAGTGTGGCCTCACTGCCGACTTGCTGGCACTGCTGGGCAACGCTGATCCGAGGTTCTCCATGTCTGCTGTTTCTGCGCTTTCTCTCCTTCCACCCAGCACCAGTCCATGTCTGCAGCACCACCTTTGATGCTCAGGGCCCCACAGCTGTCCTCTGTTTCGCTTGTTTCCTACCATCATTGCTGTAAGAGGGGTGTGATGATGAGACGACACTGCCAACTTGGACCACCTGTCTCTTGTGTTTGCTCCTTTCCTGCAGGCCAGGAGCAGCGTGTCCTTAAGCCTTTGCTCTTCCCCCAAGGCATCCTGCTCGCTGCGCAGGCGCACAAGCACCTCCCTGGTCCTCTCTTGGGATGAGATGAACTACCCCTTTGTACACACTAGAATGGAACTTGGTGCTGATGTCAAGGTTATTGGCTATTTGGGTCTCGGGAGGGGATGATGCTGTGAACACTGGCAGGATTTTTGTAATGAACAAGGCAAGACTCATGGCTCAGGGTTAAATAAAAAATAAATGGAGTTTTTAGTGGCCTTGTTAGAAATAATGAGTTCATTGTATTTTGCTGCCACCTATTAACCTTGTTGCCTATCTTTAAATTACTAATCAGTTGCTGTTGGCAATACCTGGTGGAATTTATAGAAGGTACTTTCTGCAGTTTTTTGAGAGGGATTTTAATTTATTTGACAGCAGTTGTTGCCTGTTAGGCGCCCACAGTGACCCTTTGTGCACACAGCACCACACTGCTGGACCCTGTGCCGCCCTCACACTGAGGGATGCTGGTCAGCCCGTCTCCTTGAGGCTCTTCATCTCTCTTTCTGATCCTCCCCTTCGCCGAGCATGATGTCCTTTCCCAGGGACTGGTCTCTCCTCAGAACACGTCCACAGTCTCTCAGAGGGACAGACGAATGGACGAGTCTTTCCCTCCTCGCTGCTAGGGAGCACTCTGAGTGTACTAATAAGTCAGATCTGCGTGTTCCCCTGGCAGCCTACAGTACTCTTCATCAGCACTAGAATTCAAATGCATCCGTTCTTCTTGGTCTCTCATGTTCATTGTCCAACTTTCACGTGCATCTGAGATGATTAAAATACCGTGGCTTAGATCGGACACATTTAGTCCTCAAAGTGATGTCCTTTCTCCTCAACCCTATAAAAAAGGCCTTGTGGGGAACTGATTACAAGGATCTACATGTAACCCCCTCCCTGGGGGATGGACAACAGAAAAGTGGGTGAAGGGAGATGTTGGACAAAAATAATTTATAAATCATCAAGGGCTCATAGGGAGGAGGCCAGGGAGGGAGGGGAAAAATGAGGAACTGATACTAAGGGCTCAAGTAGAAAGCAAATGTTTTGAGAATGATGAGGGCAATAAATGTACAAATGTGCTTGACACAATGGATGGATGCATGGATTGTGATAAGAGTTTGTCTGAGCCCCCAATAAAATGATAAAAAAAAAAAAAGAGGCCGTGTGTAGCAGATTGGCCCAGTGTGATAGGTTGTTTGATGTCTCAGCTGCTGCTGCTGTGAGCATTGGAGCAGTTAGCTCTGTGTCTGTGTCCTTAGTGTGTTGGGGTCCAGGCAATGCAAAGTCACTGATGAAGTGACACACGCTTCCCATTGTCCGTGTGCTTCTTTCCAGCGACCCTGAAAATCGACCATGAGATCAGAAGTGTGAAACGCCTGCAGCTGCTGCCTGAGTCATTCATTTGCAGAGTGGAAGCAGGTAATTCAGCTGTGGCTGACGCTGCTCACGGAGCTCTGAGAGGTTCATTGCAAAAACACACTCAGAGAGAAGGTCAAGGGCTGGGAACTTCTGAATCAGAGCAAAACAAATGCAAGGAAATGCCCTGTCTTCTTTCAGAGCGGCAAGGTCTTTTTAAATTGTGGTAAGGACACAACAAACGTCTTCACATCTACAGTTCAGGGAGACCAGTGGCATCAGTTGGGGTGGGAAGAGCGCAGTGATTCTGGTTAGAATATGGGAAATATCTGTCCCCGCACCCCCGTTTTTCTTGGCCCTGCGGCATAGTGGTTATGTGTTGGGCTGCTAACTGCAAGGTCAGCAGTTTGAAACCACCAGCTGCCTATTGGGAGAAAGATGAAGCTATCATTACAGTCTCTTAATGATAGAGGTATAAACATAGGTGTGTACCTATATAAATATATTAATTCATAAAAATAGAGGTATTGGCCTATGCACATATATTTATATGGCAATACATTGAGGAAACAGATGAACTTTGAACCTCTACTCAAGCCCTCCTTCAACGCAAGAGCACTTAGTTCTAGCAACCTGGCATTCTGTGTTGCTCACCCTCCTGACATGATTGCTGAAGACAAAATGAGTGCATAAGCAAATGTGATGAAGAAAGCTGATGGTCCCTGGCTATCAAAAGATACAGCGTCTTGGGCCTTAAAGGCTTAAAGTTAAACAGCCCTGTAGCAGAGAATCGAACACACCAGCCTGTGTGATCATGAGGTGTCGATGGGATTAGGTAACATGCATCAGAAGACCCAAAAGAAAAAACACACAAAAAACCCATTGTTGAGAACAAGGGGGACTGGAGCAGAGACCCCAAACCCATCTGTAGATAATAGGATATCCCCTCACAGCAGGGTTACAAGGAAGGGATGAGTCAACCAGGGTGCAGTATAGCACCAGTGAAACAGAATAGTCCTCTGGTTGTTTGAGGCTTCATCTCACCCCACTATCATGACCCCAGGCTTCCCTTTCAGTTCTGGCTGGACTGGAGCGTGTACACTGGTTTAGATAAGAGCTCATGACACACAGAATCCAGATCAGATAAACCCCTCAGGAACAGAAATGGGAGTAGCAATACCAGGAGGGTAGGGAGAAAGTGGGGGAAGAAGGGGGATCCGATCTCAATGAACGCATAACCCCTCCGCCCCAACCCCAAGGGGGATGAGCAACAGAAGTGTGGATGAAGGGAGACAGCAGTTGGTATAAGATATGAAAATAATAATTTATAATTTATCAAGGGTTCATGAGGGTGGGAGAGTGAGGGAAGGAAGGACAAAAGAGCTGATACCAAGGGCTCAAATAAGAAATGTTTAGAACGTGATGGCAGCATATGTACAAATATGCTTGATACAATTGATGTGTGGACTTTGTAAGAGCTCTTAAGAGCCCCCAATAAAATTACATTAAAAAAAAAAGAGTTGCGGTCTCAGAAAGTCCAGGGGCAGGTCTCCCCTGTCCTGCAGGAATACCATAGTCAGCATTGACTCGATGGCAGTGAAGTTTGGTGTGGATTTTCTTTGGGTCTCCTTAGATGGCAAAATTATTTCCTGTGTAACAGCTACTGTGAAATGATGTCAGTGTGTCGTCCATCGTAGGCTGACAGTGCTGCGGAGTTTCTGTAGCTATCGCCCAGGACGGTCTTAGCACTGGGGCATCTGTGGAGGTAACGGTGCAGCTTTGCCACAGCACAGTGGAGGGAAAGTGCACTCCAAGTGCTTGCTTAAAGCTCTGTACGTAGTGCCCCTTTCTACACAGAACAGCAGCGAAGGAGCACTTCCGAGACACAAAGACGCCTGCACTATATAGTAATCATCATGTGGCCAAGCAGTGCCATTGCCTACGTAGGGTGCATTGCCTGCACCTCGGGTTTTTAAGACAGTAGGCCTTCTTGGGGATTGGGCTGTACCTACCAGTCTCAGTTGGACATTGTACTCAGGGACTGTCGGTAAATTTAGGCCGACAGGGATCTTACCTAGAGGCCCGGATTTGCTTACATTTTATGAAAATATCCACAGATTGCTTTTCAGTTAAACCTAAGTTATGAGAAGCAGGTCGGTGGTTAAAGGAAAGATTGGGTGGAAGGGGAACAGCCTTCACTGAGGTGCCAGTTGGTGTGATGGACTTCACCTGCATGGTTCATTCCATTGTCCTAGTGAACGGTAGCATCCGAGCGGGGCAGTAGGTTTAGCACAGTGGGGAGGTGGCATCAACTGCAGTGTCTGGAAGGGAAGGGAAAGCAGGCTGGTTCTCGGCCTTCCTTTTGGAAGCCTCGAGGCGTCATGCTCCTCTTAGTTCCGAGGAGAGGGCAGGCCTAGAGAGCCTGGTGTACATGAACCCTGGTGGGTTGCAAAAGGAGAGACAGGGTTCCAGATTTATAACAGCTTCTAGTTGGATGGAAACAGAACCTGGGCATTACCTGAATTGACATTTAACTTCAACTCAGGCTGGCGTTGCTCAACTTGATCTCGTTATGGCCTCTCTGCGAGTCTTTCATGAGTCTGGCTGGACAACGGCTCATGCATTTGACCGGCAGCATCTTGGCAGACAGGTCTCCTTCTGAGACGTCAGCCTGAAAGCCTTGAGCACAGCCCAGCTTTCACACCCATCGCTTCCACGGGCCGGGACTGGCGGCATTCCACGCTTTAGACAATTTTTCTATTGTACTCTAGTCCTTGAGTTCTAAAGTTGGGCACAGCTCTGTTAATTTGCTATCTTGAGGTTCCTAGCTTCATGCAAAAGATGCATGTTCTACCAATCAATGCCTGATACCTCGTCTTCTCCAAGGGCCATGGGCATGTGTTTTCTTTGTAAGAATGGAGATTTGTAGATATGCATATTCCCCCTTGGAGTTGGTTAGCAGACATATTGTTGCAACTTTTTCTACTTGATCTTGTGTTCTAATTTTCTTGAAAAACAACCCAAACCAGGGGCAGATGTAGCCAAGATCTACAAAGATCTGCAGAAGCTCTCCCGCCTCTTCAAGGACCAGATGGTGTATCCTCTCCTGGCTTTCACCCGACAAGGTGAGAGAGATGAACCACCCAGGTGGAGTGGCTGCAAGGAATGCTGAGGTCTACCACGGCAGCCCGGCGGTCCCATGCCATCTGACCTCCCTCTGCTACTGAAGGCCTGCTCTTCCAACACTCCGCTTCACTGTTCGTTCTGAAGGGCTCCTCAACCCTCTTGTGTCTGCATAGCATCTTCTACACCGGGATGATGGGGCAGGGGTTAAGCACTCAGCTGCTGGCAGGCCACACTCAATGGGACAAAGATGTGGCAGTCGGCTTCCGTAAAGATTACAGTCTTGGAAACCCTCTGGGGTGATTCTCCTTGGACCTGTAGGGTCACTGCGTCAGAATCGATTAGACGGCAGAGTTTGTCTGTCTCTGTAGGGTGGATGTTTCCTCAGTGGACCATAATTGGTAGGGTTTCTCTCCAGCTAAGGGTGCAGATACCCTGAAAGTAGGGAACATGTCTTCTTCTGCTTGTGTGTTCTCATGGTCTGGCACAGACAATGGTTCCGAATAAGCGTTCAGTAAACGCAGACACAAAACAAGTCTGTACGTTTGAGGTAGATTACAAAGTAATTTTTCAAATTAACATTCATTGGGCCTGTCTGAAGTGCTTTGCTATGTGTTTCACATGTGTGCTCCTTTAACGCTGGAGCAACTGTAACGTTGTGGTTAGAGGCCAGTGAGTCAGGTCCAGCGCCTGCTGTGACCCTGCTGTGACCACAGAATGAACAGCCTGGGCCTGTGCTGCCCTCACACTCTGGCTACATTTCTCTTCACCTCTCTGTCATCAAATTGCTGTCCTTTCACGTCCCTGTTCATTTGTGGAAACAAGTCACGCAGTGGGGCAGGAGAGACGTTCTGTTTTTTGGCCAAAAACGAGCATTGAGATGGCTGCGTGAGCAGCTGCATTGTCGTGCGGTGGCAAAACCAGTCCCGCTGTCTGCCACAAGTCAGGCCTTTTTAGTTGCACACTGTTACACAATCTTTTCAGAACCTCTAACTAGAAAGCTTGATTAACAGTCTGACCTGGTGGAACAAAGTCCAAATGGACTATGAGTTGACATTTTTGTCCATCCAGGGAGTTGATGGGTGTCCAGAGTGAGATTTATCATCAACCGATATCTGACCTTTTCTGAAACGAGAAAACCACTGGGACGCTTAAGTTTCCCACAGCGCTGTCCTTGTAAGCTGAGTTCAACATCACAACTGTTCCTGCAGCATTTTTCCCAAGCAAGAAACAAAACATCACAGCACAAGCTGTTCTATTTAATCGGCCATCACAAAAATGAGGTTCGAAGGAAACTACTTTTACGAAAAAATTCACTGTGGCCGGAGAGACCCTTCCCAGGCAACACCACTGAGTGCACTAGCTCAGAGTGAGTTGCTAGATGCTTGCCTAGTGGGAAAAAGGTGTCCTTTGAAAATTCCGCCCAGTGGAGCTTTTCCCAGTTTTGGGGGAAGAGAGGGTACTCTCTCATAAGTATAGGCCAGTGGTTCTCAACCCGTGGGTCGTGACCCCTTTGGGGGTCGAATGGCCCTTTCACAGGGGTTGCCTGTTTCATAACAGTAGCAAAACTACCGTTACGAAGTAGCAACGAAAATACTTTGATGGTTGGGGGGTCGCCACCACACGAGGAGCTGGATGGAAGCATCGCTGCCGCAGATTAGGAAGGTTGAGAACCGCGGGAATAGGCGGATGTGTGGCTTCAGTTTGCCACGTGTCTGTCGAGGACGGAGGATCATCTAGCACCACGAGGAATGCCTCCATGGCCACTGCTGGCAACAGTGTCCTCGCTGGTTGTGGAGGGTGGGGGCGTGGAGAGGACTCGGGATCTCAAAACTGATTCATCTTTGCTGGATGTGACTATCTTTGAGTGGAAAATGGTTACACACACATTCCACAAGAATTAATAATACTCAAAAGTAATTTACATTTTACCTTGGAATACATTTTATTCTTTTCTTCCCTTGCTTCTGAATTTACCTACCTCCCTACCACCCTCCCAATCCCCTCCTCTGTTTCAGCCTGCTAGACAAGAGATAAGGAACCCTGGTGGGTAGTGGTTTTGCGTCTGGGTACTACAGCAAGGGCAGCAATTTGACAGCAGCAGCTAGCCCCTAAAAAGAAAGAGGAGGCTTTCTGCTCTTGTATAGAGTCTCACAGCCACAGCAGCAGTTCTCTGTGTTACAGGGTCACTGTGAGTCAGCATCGACTCAGGGCCGTGGTGCGGCAAGAGATGGTAGTCATTGCTAACCCCCGAGTGCTTACTAGGTGCCAGACACTGTTCCAAGTGCTGTTTGTATCGAAATACATGTAGTTCTCACAACAACTTAGTGAAGGGTAGGGGATATTACTAACCGATTTTACAGATGAGGCTATCAAGTGAGAGGTTAAATGACTTAATCCAGAATTGCACAGATAATAAGTGGCAGGGTTGAGAACCAATGATGAAAGCTTGAGGGTGTTGGTGTTAATTTGTTTTTTGGGAATTGAGTAGAGAAATTAGATTACAACGGAGTATTGCTTGGCATAAGGAAGCCACTGGCGAGTATTTAGGAATTGTCATCCACACTGCCACTGTATTAGACAGGGTTCTCTGGAGAGAGAAAACCAAATTGCTGATAATATAATTTAATTTAACTACTGTTGAGGTGATTCCGGCTCAGAGTGACTCTGTAGGTCACAGAACCTTAAGGCTCTGAGACTAAGCCTTGATGGTAGCAGACAGCCACATCTTTCTCCCGCCGCGTGGGAGCAGCTCAGTGTTTAACCAGGAGTCCTTAGAAATTGTGAGGGTTGTTTGTAATTAAGCTGGTGTGTATTAACAAATGTTTGTATTCCCGTGAAATGAGAGCCGGGGTGTAGGGCCTGCCCTTCTGTAATTTGATAATACAGCCCACCTCAGGTTAGAAATCGGTGGTTAGTGTCCTGTTGCGTAATTGATACCGCCATCTCATGGGGCACTTCTGTCGGAAGCAGCAAGCTGCCAGAGCGCAATGAGCGCTCTCTCAGACGGTACTGCCCCTCTCTCCCCAGCCCTGAACCTCCCAGATGCGTTTGGGCTGCTAGTCCTCCCACTGGAGCTGAAGCTGCGCATCTTCCGACTTTTGGATGTCCGCTCTGTCCTGTCCCTGTCGGCCGTGTGTCGTGACCTCTTCATTGCGTCCAATGACCAGCTCCTGTGGAGGTATTTGCTTCTGCGGGATTTTCCAGGTAACTTCCGTTGATGACTTGTTGATAGGGGCTCTTTCCCACCCCGGCCGTAATTACCCGGCTTGCAGGAAAGGTTTTGGTTGTAGGCTTTTATCCGTAGGTTTGAAGAGGTGCACGTGACCCTGAGTAGCACAGACGGGAGATTCTAAGCTTCGTGTACCTTCATCTCCTCTCCTCCCGTTCCTTTGTGGGTTCTGCACAGCCTTCCCGATGGCTCAGTTAGACTAGGACAATGGGAGACAGGCTTATTCTTCTGTGTAGAGCATCCTCGGCATCTGTGCCGTTCACGTTTGAACACCTGGTCTTAGGTTCTCAAACTCCCTCCCACCTATTCAGGAAAAAAAGCTACTCAGTCACCCTGGCAGTCAAAAACTTTGGTCCTCTTCCCCATAATCCAGG